ACAAAGTAGAGAAGTTGGCAGAAGAAGTTGTAGCCATTGTGAAGGAAGCAAGAAATTCTGCTACTGGAGGAAGTTGGAAGAACTTGGCAAAAGAAGTTGTAGCCATGGGATTATATCCCTTAACAATACCTGACTTGGAGCCATGAATTTCGAACTAGATGCCTTACAGATATTGCATACGAACGAGGTCGCCTATGGATGGAGGCAGGGGACCTGTCAAATAATTTTTGGCCAAATTTCTGCAATAAAGGCAGTATCAATCATAAAAAACAATAGGACAAAATTAACATACACATCGGTGAGGAAGGTTAAATTCCAGAGCTCATCCGGGATTGGACTCACAACATTTAATGCATATACTCTCCTACAATACAAAATTAAACGATACGAGTCCAAATCAATACGGTATATTAAACAAATATAACATAGCAATACTGTAAAGAAAAATGATTACGTACAGAGCAATAATGTGGCAAGTGGTGGCATTTCTGTAAGAGCAGTCATATTTGATCCCCGGATTGAAGTTCTGGATAGGGGTGTCGTTATCAATTGCGACGCCGATGCATAATTCACCGCTGATATTCCATTGATCATTAGCCAAAATCCCCCATCGCTCGAACATGGAGTTTATAGCTCTCGCTGCATATCATAATTGATTTTCCATCTTCATCAATGGCAGTTCTTGGGTATCAATTGTTGTCAGTGGTTAAGCAAAACGCTACTCAGCATTTTGACTACAAATTATACAATTTGACAGTTATTAGGGGTGGACAAAATGTACCAAATCAAACCAAACTAGAACCAACCCAAATTGAATGGTTCGGTTCGGTTCGCTTCGGTTCGATTCTAAAAAAAGAATTTATGGATTTGGTTATTTTTTAACAAAGAATCATTTGGTTACTTGTTCTATAAACGAGAACCGGAACCCAGAACCTAACTTTATGTTTAATTTTATTTTTTATATATATTAATTAGTGGAGACAGTCAATTAATTAAATACAGTCCATTAGTCGATTCTAGGTCATTAGAGACAGCTTATTAATTATGTACACCATAATTTTGTATTAATTTGAATCATTTCTCCTTCACTCCTTTTCATTTTATACAAAGCCGCAGCACGTTAGCACCGCATTTTATCACGTCAATGGAGGAAACTCTTTCAAGATCTAAAAATGAAATTGGTCAGCCACTTAAAAAACCTTTAAACTATTTTTTTACCTTACGTGTTTGATGAATTATTTGTGTTCTTGACAAATAGAGAAAAATTCAATAAACATTCATGGAGTATTAAACAATTAATGGTTGTCCGTAAAAGTGGATCGTAAAAGTTTTGCATAATTCATCTTTTATTGTGGAGGTGTGCTATCAAAACTGCTTTAGTAAATTATTGCTATTACTTATTAAACAATTTTTTGTACGAGAATGAAAACTGATTTGTGTATTCAAATTATTATTATATTTTATTTGTTAGTTTGGATTTTTGTGATATTGATGATTGATAATTTGAATTTTTTGAATGGTTGATGTTTATTTTTCTTTTTTATTTAGATATAAATTACTAACTTATAGATATGGTACAAGTCTGAAAATTAGTAAGTGAAACTAGAATCATACCATACCATACCAAACCAAACCAAATCAGAACCGAACAATTCGACTCGGTTTGGTTCCATATCTTCGAAAAAAATCATTTGGTTCCATTATCAAAAAAATCATTGATTCATGGTTCGGTTCGGTACTCTTGAAATCAAAACCAAATGGAACAATATCTACCCCTAATGCTTAAGATTACTTTTTTATTTCTATTCAAAATAAGCCTCTGTTTGATTTTGGTAAAAAAAAAAAAATGATAAAACTGGAGGCTTGAAAATATAAAAAATGTAGATTTTACAAATGTAGGGTTGAAAATTACTTTGAAAAAAAAAAAAA